AGCAAACATGAAAGAGAATTTTACATTTCAGACTGCGACACACGGTTAGGATGTAACTTGCTTCACCTTTGGTCGTGAAAGATCAAAAATGTGGATTAGATCAGAGCAGATTTTACAGTACCGTGATACAGGGCTTTCAATTCTATTCAATACTCCAAAAAAATACAACATCAAGCTAAATCATACTTGTTTGCCTCTGTCAAGAGTAATGGTCACCATATAGTACAGTCCCCCCCCACCTCTCCATCTCTGAGATTTGAACCCAGGACCTTCTTGCTGAGAAGTGTGAGTGCTAACCACCCTGCCACTGACTATTGTTGGTGCATTTATTATATTTCAAAGGGTTGTTGAAAAATATTCTTTGTCTGATTGCAATGTGTGAAACTATTACAAAATATAAAAAATATATATATAAAAAAATCCATACTTTGTCAATTGAAAAAAAAAAATGCTAGCACAACCATTATATCAATACTGGTAAATGTATTTAAATAACAAAACCTATATCAGTCGACCTCTGGTTTGGATCCAAGAGCTATGATAAACACAGATGGACTGTGTCAGAAAGTGAAAGTAAGATTAGCTCATGGTTGACTAAAATATACCCAACATGTCACGCCTCCAACACTTCTTCCAAGCATTTAAAGCTGGGGTACCTGACTTTCAAACCACACATTCTTTTACAGTGTAATGTGTTGCTTCTATCACTAGCTTTCACATCCATGTCTGTTTGGCATCTTTATATCCACTTTTTCAGACTGAAAACCACCTCGCTCCAAACATCTCTCGGTCCAAAGTGCCAAATAGTGACTCACAAGTACACAAAAGATAACATGTTTCTAATATTGGATTGAGATTTGATTTTCTCACAGAATGTTACTTTTACAATTCTCTTTCTGTTGGGACAAACAAAATCCATTTTTGATGACCAAATTGGCTTACGTACCCCAGCTTTAACGTAAACACCAGAGCTAGCCCCATTTGACATACAATTTAAGTGACATAAATGAACTCTGTTAAGCCTCCGGCCACATTTCTCCTCTTGAATGGAAACGCAATCACAAGAAGAGCTCCTAACAAAGAGCGGATTTGTAAAGTCATCCCCAGTCATTAAGGAACAGCGCGCTCAGCAGCTCACCGGGAGACTTTTCATTTCCTGCGCGGCTTTGCTCCGTCTCTGACAAAAAGATGACGGGAAAATGTTTCTTTTTGATTGTTTGTGGATTTGGGAGTGGAGTGAACATACCAAAAATCCCATTTGGAAGTAGGTAATGAGGAAGGGATGATTAAGTGCTCGCAAATAGACGTGGAAGATACAGACTTATAATATTGGTATGGTATGATTATTATTTTTACAGGGACAGTGAACGATAAGCATTAGCCAATAGGAGAGATGCTCAAATATGGGAAAATAACTCCAATAAACAAAGTGATACAGATTTACTGAATAGCCATCAACTATCAAGCTGGGTTAGCAAACTTATCCTAACAGAAAGTCTTAGGTAGGTGTCTGTGTGGTTTGGAAACATCACAGATAAAGAAAAGAGAGCTTTAAACAAGGTGCTCCGCTCTGCAAAGAGGACCGTGGGCTGTGAGCTTCCTGTTCTGGAGGTTCTTTATAAATCCAGACTTTTAAACAAAGCTCTTAGGATTGTTAATGACTCTTCTGGCCACCCTGGGAAAGCCATGTTCCAGCTTCTTCCCTCTGGCAGAAGATATCGCTCTCTGAGATGCAGGACATCTCGTTACGCTAACAGTTTTTATCCACAGGCTGTTATCAGTGTGAACAGAGCACTTTAATGATTTGCACTTGTTTTGAACTGTTTTAGTCGATCCATTTCACAGTGACATTTGTTTACTGTTTTATTTGTTTTATTTCTGTCTTTTAATGTTGTTTTATGTCTGTATTTGTCTGTGCACACTGGAGACTTTTGCTAATGTATTCCAATGTGGTTTTACTGCAAATGGCAAATAAACTGAATCTGATCTGGATAAGTTTTCAAAAATACCGCAGTTACATTTATTGTGGTCTGAAATGTTGGAACCCTAGCTTTAACACAGAAATCAGCAATGGAACACGAGACAGCAGCAGAACCACCAAACACCAACAAAAGAACTTTACCGACTCAGTTAACACGGATTTTAGCAGGAGAACTATTGTCGAATCACATTAAACTATCAGACAGACGTTAAGTTTATCCAAAAATACTAGTTATAATAAAATAATAAAACTACCCAGCCCTCGAGCTTCACTTTCTCTCCATCCAAACATGCATAATAAGCTCACACACTCCCTCATCACACATGGAAACAGAGCAACTGAGTAAGTGTTTCATTGTTTATTTATATAGTGTATTTTACAGCCCAAGGTACAGATCCAAAGCGCTTTCCAATGTTCAGAGTCAGATATTGTTCCAATCCTTCCACACACGGTGATGACAGAAGCGAGTCCAGAACACACTGAACCATCAGCTCCAACACCATCATTCACTCTCTCATTTACATTCAGACCTATTGTGCATGTTTTTAGTGGTAGGGGAAACCGGAGCACCCTAAGGAAACCTGCGCAGACACGGGGAGAACATGCAAACTCCACTCAGAAAGGCCCTGTTCCGACTGGGATTCGAACCCAAGACCTTCTTGCTGAGAAGCCAGAGTGCTAACCACTCAGCCACCGTACCGCCCACAGCCTGAGCACAACAGCCTTAGGACATTTTATTGTGAATGATAAGCAAAAACTTTAAGGCTTTAAAAAATGACTTAGGACATGGGAATCATTTACACATCCATCATCAAGCAACAATCCAACGAAACTCAAGGTTAAAACAGAGTCAGTCTTCTTCCAGGAGCACAGGGACTGGACTCCTGCTGGGACTCTGAGGAGCACAGGGACTGGACTCCTGCTGGGACTCTGAGGAGCACAGGGACTGGCCTCCTGCTGGGACTCTGAGGAGCACAGGGACTGGACTCCTGCTGGGACTCTGAGGAGCACAGGGACTGGACTCCTGCTGGGACTCTGAGGAGCACAGGGACTGGACTCCTGCTGGGACTCTGAGGAGCACAGGGACTGGCCTCCTGCTGGGACTCTGAGGAGCACAGGGACTGGCCTCCTGCTGGGACTCTGAGGAGCACAGGGACTGGCCTCCTGCTGGGACTCTGAGGAGCACAGGGACTGGACTCCTGCTGGGACTCTGAGGAGCACAGGGACTGGACTCCTGCTGGGACTCTGAGGAGCACAGGGACTGGACTCCTGCTGGGACTCTGAGGAGCACAGGGACTGGACTCCTGCTGGGACACTGAGGAGCACAGGGACTGGACTCCTGTTAGTGCCCAGAGTCAGGACTAAACATGGGGAGGCTGCTTTTCAGATTCATGCTGCTAAAATCTGGAACAGTCTTCCTGAAGATGTGAGACAGGCCTCCTCTCTGACAATGTTTAAAACCAGGTTAAAGACAGTTCTGTTTAGCTGTGCTACAACTGAGGGATTTTATATTTTTATCTTTCTTTTTAATGTTCTGTGATTATTTATGACTTTAAAGGAATAGTTCACCGTTTTTACATACTGACATATGTTCTTACCTTACCTTAGACTAGTTAATATGTACCTGTCTGGTCTTAGTCCGTGCGCTCTGTCATGCAAACGGAGCAAAAACGGGAGCACAAACGCAGCCTCCTCTGTATACTGTGTAGGACCAAAAGGTAGCTCCCGCTAGAAGCTACCAAACTCTTCCAAGTGTTCCCTATTAAATGTATATAGTTACGTGACGTGTTACACTGCAAAGTATAGTAACACAGAAATGTAACTGTCGATTTTCTCAGCGGATAAAACGGGTACTATATTGTGAGGCGTAGTAATCTGAGGAGCGCTACGTCCGCGCACTAACTTCTCTCCGGAGACTTCTCTCTCGCTGCTACTGTGTGTACTACAAGTCACGCTGCTTCTATTGACGGAAGTGAGCGAGAGAGAAGTCTCCGCGGACGTAGCGCTCCTCAGATTACTACGCCTCACAATATAGTACCCGTTTTATCCGCTGAGAAAATCGACTGTTACATTTCTGTGTTACTATACTTTGCAGTGTAACACGTCAAGTAACTATATACATTTAATAGGGAACACTTGGAAGAGTTTGGTAGCTTCTAGCGGGAGCTACCTTTTGGTCCTACAAAATATACAGAGGAGGCTGCGGTTGTGCTCCCGTTTTTGCTCCGTTTGCATGACAGAGCGCACGGACTAAGACCAGACAGGTACATATTAACTAGTCTAAGGTAAGGTAAGAACATATGTCAGTATGTAAAAACGGTGAACTATTCCTTTAATGCTTTCTTATTTTGTTCAGCACTTTGTGTTGCCTTGTGTATGAATTGTGCTATATAAATAAACTTGCCTTGCCTTCTTGAAATGACTAATCCACACTGGTGAGAACCTCTGCAACTGAACTCAATCATTCACTTGATAGTGGCCAAAGTCGCTGATAACTTTGTTTAGTGCCCACCCATTTGTATCACAGTCTCCATTTTGGGCTTAACCAATGATCCATGATCCTGGGGTTAGCTTTCTGATAATAGTAAGTAAGTAAGTAAGTTTTTATTTATATACCGCCTTTTCACTGCAGATCTGAGTCTCAAAGCGGTTTACAATTGTTATTATTTTTAGGGCATTTGTCCTCTCACTCCACACAGAGATGGGAGCGGGGTCGCCAGTACAGGAGGCGCATGCTAGAACTATTGGACATATTTTTAGTGGTAGGGGAAACCGGAGTACCCGGAGGAAACCTACGCAGTCACGGGGAGAACATGCAAACTCCACTCAGAAAGGCCGTGGTCCGACCGGGATTCGAACCCAGGACCTTCTTGCTGAGAGGCGAGAGTGCTATCCACTCAGCCACCGTGCCGCCCATAATGTCAGATGCTCACACTCACTCATCACACATGGCGACATCGTGAGCCTTTATAGCCAACAAACAGAAGCACGGTTAACACACACTGGCAGCACATTGCAGTCACTCACCTCCCACAAACTGGATCCCTCCGGCCACACGTCCGATGGTGCGCGAGATCAGCTCCGAGATGCAGCAGCCCATGAGCGCCGTGAGGGCCACCAGCAGCAGCAGCCCGCAGCCCACGCCCGTCACCACCGTACAAATCCTCCACTCCAGGCTGGGGATGCCGTCGAAGGTGGCGTACCTGCCGCACTGCTCCAGCATCACCGTGGCCTGCCTCTCCTCGTCGCGCACGGGGTAAGAGCAGCGGCGGAACGTCCCAAAGGAGACCGGCTTGTCCATTTGTGTTCCCAGGAGCCAGTAGGGCATGAAAAAGCCCACGCAGGAGGCCGCGGCGCAGAGCAGGGACAGCAGGGCCCATACCACGCCCGTGCAGGTCAGGCTGGAGGCCATGGCGAAGAAAGGTGAGAGAAGTGCGAGGAGCAGACGAGATGACGAGAAGTATCCGAGTGAATAAAAAAACAACTGGGTTTGGATGGCGGAAAGCAGACTTCACCTGCTGAGAGTCTCACGGTCCCTGTCGGACAGAGAGGAGATCAGTTAGACTATTTTAAGAAACAAGAGTTCTACTTAAAGTTTTTGAGCTTTTATCACTGGGAATCCCAGAATTCTGAAACTACTAGAGCTCCCAGAGTCATCAAAAGTCATTATGATGTGTTAGGGTTTGTGCTAACTATAGTAACTAGCACTAGCTCTTCTCTGGTGGAAAAACAAGCTGACTCTGCGCAGAACCAGAACCAGTCCAAAACCAGTACAGAACCAGCACCTAGAGAAAAGGTGCTTTTCAAAAATGGCAACATTTGAATTTCACCGTCAAAATGACTGCTCTTCTCACATTTGAAAAATGTAAGATCATTTCATAAAATTAATTACATATAAATAAACTACATAAAGACACAGAAAAAGTTACAATGTTAGAAAGATCAAAAATGTACACACACTGAATTGACTGCTCTGGTTTCATCGTTCATCAAACCAGACCTGGAGTAGTTTTCCATCCACAGCATCACAACCTTTGAAATATGATGTCATTGTACCACACTATGACATCATGCACAGAGCCGTTTTCTGCTCGGTGCGAACGGCACATGTGTCATCAGAAGGCTCCTGGTGTCCCCTGAAAGCACCAGCACTACATTCCCCCAGTTCCTGTTTAATTATAGTATTATAGTATACTATTATTATTATAGTATAGTATTTATAAAAGAAACTGTTTTATAACCAGCATGAAGCCAGCAAACAAGACGAAATATTTACAACATCAACATTCGTAGTCACATCGATGCAAAAACAATGATCTATGACTACGCACACGTGCAGACTGTGTCACATACTCTCTGGTTTAATCAGAGGCCCCATGTCTCACACCTCTTCACAGTCCCAGGCTCGAGGCTCTGTGCCAGGGGTCGCTCCAGCTAACTGCCCCATGCTGAGCGCTGCCTGTTGGGTCAGGGGCTGAGGTTTGTTGACTCTGGGATGTTTGAGCTTCATGTATGTGTGTGAAGAATTTTAATGACCAGAGGGAACATTTCTTCTTTACCAAAGTTTTATTTATTTGATATGGACACAACAGTTACATTGGACTGTCTTTAGCTCCGAAAACAACACCATGCTAATTTTCATCACTTGTGATGGAGGCATTTAGGACATAAATGCACACCTTTTACAAATACAGTAGAGCTGCCACTAACGATTATTTTGTAAATCGATTAATCTATCGATTATTTTTACGATTAATCGAGTAATCGCTTGGCTGTGAATTGTGTAGAAAAAAATTATTTTTTCATCACAAAAAGCCAAAGTGGCAACACTCGAGGAGGTATTGATGGCGTAAACTTAAAGTAAATGTTTGTAACAGGCTCTTTGTGCTAATTCTGCTCTGATTGGATGAGACAGACAGATATTCATGAAATTATAAAAACAAAGTCGGTTTTAATCAAAAATACTAAATTTTCATGTCATTTTTGCTCTGTTTGAGTCCGTGTGAACCAGAAAACGATTAATTGATTACTAAAATAGTTGTCGACTATTTCAATAATCGATTAGTCGTCGATTAATCGATTAGTTGTTTCAGCCCTAAAATACACTGGTCCCACGTTTATCAGAGGGTTGATGTTCTAGAAATAACCTGCAGCAAAGTAGCAACTGTTTATTTTATTTTGTTGTCCTGTTCTTTCGACATGTGAATGTTATTGGGGCCCCTATATATAAGCCAAGTTGTGCTTCATGGGAGTCCCTTCACAAACCTAATTGTCTAATTGTAAAAGATGTGGATTCAACTCATGTTTGTGAACAAATAATAAATAAATAAATAATAAATAAACTGAATGTTTTAAGGCTGTAACACCCATATCATTTTCTAAACACCTGAACTCACAACAAGTGCGATCCCAAAGATATCAAACCTGTTGGTTGCAGGTCTGAGCGCTGCTGCAGCAGTCAAAAGCCGTGCACACACAGTAAAATACAGCTGCAGAGGACACTGAAGGGACGGAACAGGACTGAGGGCTACAGGAAGACTGCGACCGTCCTTTGACCTGATCACCACGGTGTGCATACAAGTCGAGCCACAAAAGTTTCTTCTGTTACTCTGCACAGGAAAAGTGCTCTATAAATAAAGATGGATTGATGTTCAGTAAAGTTGTTTAAGATCATGCATTAAGCTGGGGTCCCTAACTTTTACTTTTTCATGAATAATACATGCTGTTTGTAGTAAATGGTTATTCTTTCAAACAATACTTTTAAGACAGAGCCTGGCGAGTCACTATTTGCCACTTTGGGCTGGGAGCTGGAAGAGAGGACCACCCTCACTCAGCCTTTTTCTATTTCCTGAAACGGCTGATCTAGGGACAAGTGAAAACTCTCAAACCAAACTTTAAAGAGAGCACAGAGCTATTCTTCACATAGTTCAATTACTTTGTATTTTGAAAGTCAGGATCGCCAGCTTTAGAGTTCAGAGGCGTAAGTGGACTGCTGCATTTGCGTCTGAAGTGAAAGGAAACCACTTAAGGCCAATAAGTGTGAACGCTGCCTTTAAACCCAGTAGTCAAGAACAGGACTGCAACATGTAATCTCTGCTCCGTTCAAACAAATATGTGGTTTTACTACAACACTATTCATGTTAGCATCAGCTGATTATTAAATATATGTTTATGACACAGTATTACAGCAGGAAAAACATAGTATTGTTCAGCGTGTTTGTGAGCAGTGGGGATAAAGTTATGGACTCATGGAGAGAAACACATATTAATGCAGCGGCTCTCAGAATGAGGAGCGAGATTTACTAAACTAGAGGAACTTGATAGAATCGTTTCACTGTATTTCACCAAATATTTGACTTAAAATATTATCTAAGTGAAAAAAGTCCAAATATACAATAATTCACTCAATGAAAAAGCTACATTCTTCAACTCTTCAAATAATTATTGACTTATTTACAAGTTCATTTCATCCATATTTTGTGGGTACCTGAATTAAATATTTCATGAACACGTGTCACATACAGCAACACATATAAGCAAACATAAATGTAACTAATCTTCCAAAGAGTAACCTTAACTCTAGATGTGTCAACGTTTACTTGAGGAAAATCTCAATGGAAACTACAGGAAAAAATGAATCAATCTCATTGTTTATTCAATGAACCTACAAAAGTGCTCACGATTTAAAGCTGGGGTACCTAACTTTCAGACCAAACAAACGGACACTGTCATTAAGTCCACTTTAGCATCTGTCAAATCCTTAGATCTGCTTTTTTCAGTCAGAACAGTGAAAAACAGAAGACCAGCCTTAATATACACCCAATCAGCTCTAAACCCAAAGTGTCAAATAGAGACTCCCAGGGCTCTTTCTAAGTGTGCAAATGTTAAAGATACCATGTTTTGGTCCACAACATATTACTTCCAACCAAACTTTATGTTGGTTGGATATTGCACCTCAGTTTATAAAACGGATTTTGGATTAATTCATTTAAATCTTGCTAAAATGTATACAGTTCTGAAGTGGATCCATCTCCTGCAGATCTGTTTCCATGAATCTATTAGAACAATCGTACGCGCTGATAAAAGTTGAACAAAGTTGGACAGCTGCTGGTCAGATGCTGTTGTCTTTGCGTGAGCCCATAGATCATGCACAATTCAATAAAACATAAAACAACACACATTTTAAAGTAATTGGTGCGCAACGGAGCATCTCCTCTCCGCAAACTGCCTGTATAATTGCACTGGTAACACGCTCGATTCCAGTGCACTCGGAACTAAAGACCCATGTAGTGATTTATCGATGTGTGGGACCAGGCGCGCACCACGGTCCAAGCGTGCGTAATGCTGAGGAAAGCTTTACTACTACTTACATGTTGAAGAGCTCTGCAATTAGCACCACTACCACCCCGAGTATCCCCTTTCCATCCGCGGGTTCCAGCTGTGTCCTGGTGCCGTGTTCCCCTTATCCTTTTTTCCCCAAACTTTTCTCCAGGAACCAAAAGGCGCGCGTCCTGTTTTACGCGCGGAGAATCAGCAGTACACCCAAAATATCCAAAGCGATTTTCCAAGTTCGTCTGTAATCAAATGGGGGGGTATTTCAGCCAGGATCCGTGCGAGTTAACCGGATTGCCTTTCCCACATTCCTGCGTGAGGCAGCAGCCAGCCCAGGACTCGGAGGGCAGTGTGTGTGTGAGTGAGAGAGAGAGAGAGAGGGGGGGGGGAGAGAGAGGGAGACAGGGGGAGAGAGAGGGAGGTGGGCGGTGCTGGAGCGCACTCTGGAAGGGAGAGTTGGGAGCATCCATCACACTGGCCCCGCCTAGAGGCCGGCCCAAGCAGCGGTACTCCGGGACACCTCCAGAGTCTGGGCATGGGTGGAGGAGGGCACCAGCAATGACAGCAACTCGGGGTCCACTGTGATGTGCGCAGCCTCGAATCGTACATGAAGAAGAGAAGAAGAGTGGGGGTTGTAACCTTATTATAATAGATCCATGATTGTAACATGTTTGGGTCATGATTGTATGGGGGGAGTATGAGATAAACTCAAATCTGACACATTTTCCCTGAACATGAAGGACAGGATTCCACTTTGTCCGAATCCAGGTTGAAACAAATCTGTTTAATGTGATTAATTTAGTATTTGAATGCCTTCTGTGATGTTAATGTTTATTTTTTGTTTTGTTAAGCACTTTGAGTTGCCTTGTGTATGAACTGTGCCATACAAATACATTTGCCTTGCCTTGCCTTACTACAACAAATATTCCAAATGTTATTCTATCACTGATTATGCACATATTGTGCAATAGTGTTTATGACATACAGTATGCTCATGGTCAGTGTGCATTTGTGTTCAGAACAGTTCATACCAAATCACACATGGCTGTATATTACTGCTCTGTAGACTACAGAGTGTTACAAACGTAGATCTATTGTGTTACAGCCTTGCTTTTTCAGAATGTGGCTATCTGTGCATGTGCCATGTGGCTGGATAATAATGTACTATCCACTTATCGTTCATATGATTACTGCCGTGTTCCCCAACCCTTGTGAGCCATACACCCTTTTCATTGCATACAATCACATGGCACATCACCAGCTGAAACAAAAAATGAACTCTGAAGCCTTTATTTGCAAAGGAAGGTCATTCTCATCAAAGTGTATTAAAGAGAAAATTAAACAAGTGCCTTTTGGTTATTGGTCATTTTTTGGACCAATTAGGTGATGTTTGATTCTCAATATGGCTCCTTTATAACTTTATAAACAGTTTTAGTTTTAAGTAGCAAAAAATGCTGCTTTATACTGTTTGTTTACATTTGTTTCTACCAAATAAATAATCAACATGTGAAACTCTATACAAAATATATAGCCAAGGCTAATTGTCCTTAGAATGGCATTCACAATGAAAAAAACAAAAACATTTTCCATTGTTGCATTCAAATTATACATAGGTACAATACGTTTTTTCAGTTTGTATTTAAACCAGTCCAGTCCAAGTTCAGTTTAAGTTGCACAATAAGCACTCACATGTTTTACTTCTGCCACTTTATGAGCACGGATAAATGTGTATTGTGTGTATTTATGCATTAGAAATGCATTTTTTTGCGTTGTGCCAAAACTATTCTGAAAGCGACCTTATGCTTTGCTATTTAAGAAGTTTCTCTGTAAAAAATATAATATTTATTAGACCCATCTTTTTTGATCATACTAGGTAATAATGGATATTAGGGCTGAAACAACTAATCGATTAATTGACGACTAATCGATTATTGAAATAGTCGACAACTATTTTAGTAATCGATTAATCGTTTTCTGGTTCACACGGACTCAAACAGAGCAAAAATGACATGAAAATTTAGTATTTTTGATTAAAACCGACTTTGTTTTTATAATTTCATGAATATCTGTCTGTCTCATCCAATCAGAGCAGAATTAGCACAAAGAGCCAGTTACAAACATTTACTTTAAGTTTACGCCATCAATACGTCCTCGAGTGTTGCCACTTTAGCTTTTTGTGATGAAAAAATATTTTTTTTCTACACAATTCACAGCCAAGCGATTACTCGATTAATCGTAAAAATAATCGATAGGTTAATCGATTACAAAATAATCGTTAGTGGCAGCTCTAATGGATATAATACTTTATTGCTATAAAAATTGTTAGCTGCAGCCCTATATACATTTCTATGCAATGTTTACATTTAAAATTATAGGATGACATTCTAAGTAAAACAAAAAAAGTGATAGTATACTTGTCAACACAATATATATATATATATATATATATATATATATATATATATATATATGATAAAACCACATGTCCATTAGGATCATAATACTGTAATAGGACAGCTATAATGTTATCGTAAAAAGAATCATAATATTATAATAGGATAGTAAAAAAAAGCATGTTATATAATGAGAATTTTCAATATTAAATAAGCGGAACTATCGTGTTCCTGTTTCAACCAAGCCGGATTATTTTCTTACACGGACCAAAACATCCCTTGACGTGGATGTAGATCCTCTGTGGTTTGTACGATGTCTGACGGTAAAGTGGAGACCCCTCCGGACCAGTCCTCTGCCGCCGTCAGTCCACATGCATCTGTCCAGCAGAACAATCCCCTGTCCCGGAAGCTCAACAAGATCCTTGACACGAGACTGGACAATGACAAGGTGAGATCTGAGCTAACATGCTAACATGCTAACGAGGCTAACATTAGCCTCTCCTGTTAGTGTGAAGTATAGCCTGCATTGAGCTTTGTGACAGCAACATGTTCAGTTACACAATAGTATCTGCCTTATGCACAAAACAATATGATTCCTTTTCTTATAATTAGAGAGTAAGTTTTTTGTTGGGCTGACTAAAGCTGGGGTAGCAAACATCAAACCACATGAATCAGATGGTATTACATGGTTATGTAAATACTTGTAGTTCCTGGTTCTATAAAGCAGTTTGTTCTATCACTGGTTTTCTAACGCCTATACTTTTAGTCTCTGTCACATTTTTAGATCTGCTTTTTTCAGACTAGTAAGTGAGTTAACCACTTCCTTCAGTCATTCAGCTCTCAGCCCAAAGTGTCAAATAATAACTTGCATGACTCTTTCTGACCAGCATGCAGAAGAAACTAGCTAGCGTTATAACATGTTTTCTATTAAGAGGGAAACCACATGTTGTGTTCTGATTTGTTCACAAAATGTTACTTTAACAATACAAACAACATGCGTTATTTATGAACAAAACACTTAAATCGCTCTTATATATTATAATTGTGTTTAGTACATGTTTCAAATGAAATGTTTGTGGACTTGTGTAGCCCCGTCAACTTTAAACATGGTGCTGGTTTGCAGGAGATGCTGGAGGCTCTCAAAGCTCTGTCAGTGTTTTTCACGGAGAACAGCCTGCGCACCAGGAGGAACCTGCGTGGGGACATAGAGCGGCGGAGCCTGGCCATCAACCAGGATTTTGCACAAATATTCAAAGCGGTCAAAGAGGTATGTTGACATTCCATAATGAGCTATAATAATGGCTGTCCCTACACTACATTTACCCCAAGGTCATAATGGTGAGCTGTGACCACGTTCATCATGCTGTAGAAACGTTTTTACAGTTCACTCCTACATTTTTTGAATGACATTGTTTATACATAACCAATCAATCTATCCATCATGTGACACATTCACAATCATAGCTTTTAACTTGGGAAGCTTTGATACAATACAGGTACAGGAAATCGGAGCAGATTTTAGACATTTTGTTATAAAATGTTTAGGGCCTTCTCTGTGGTCTTCAACTGGGGGGACAGGGCCCTCTCTGTGGTCTTAAACTGGGGGGACAGGGCCTTCTCTGTGGTCTTAAACTGGGGGGACAGGGCCCTCTCTGTGGTCTTAAACTGGGGGGACAGGGCCCTCTCTGTGGTCTTAAACTGGGGGGACAGGGCCCTCTCTGTGGTCTTAAACTGGGGGGACAGGGCCCTCTCTGTGGTCTTAAACTGGGGGGACAGGGCCCTCTCTGTGGTCTTAAACTGGGGGGACAGGGCCCTCTCTGTGGTCTTAAACTGGGGGGACAGGGCCCTCTCTGTGGTCTTAAACTGGGGGGACAGGGCCCTCTCTGTGGTCTTAAACTGGGGGGACAGGGCCCTCTCTGTGGTCTTAAACTGGGGGGACAGGGCCCTCTCTGTGGTCTTAAACTGGGGGGACAGGGCCCTCTCTGTGGTCTTAAACTGGGGGGACAGGGCCCTCTCTGTGGTCTTAAACTGGGGGGACAGGGCCCTCTCTGTGGTCTTAAACTGGGGGGACAGGGCCCTCTCTGTGGTCTTAAACTGGGGGGACAGGGCCTTCTCTGTGGTCTTAAACTGGGGGGACAGGGCCCTCTCTGTGGTCTTAAACTGGGGGGACAGGGCCCTCTCTGTGGTCTTAAACTGGGGGGACAGGGCCCTCTCTGTGGTCTTAAACTGGGGGGACAGGGCCCTCTCTGTGGTCTTAAACTGGGGGGACAGGGCCCTCTCTGTGGTCTTAAACTGGGGGGACAGGGCCCTCTCTGTGGTCTTAAACTGGGGGGACAGGGCCCTCTCTGTGGTCTTAAACTGGGGGGACAGGGCCCTCTCTGTGGTCTTAAACTGGGGGGACAGGGCCCTCTCTGTGGTCTTAAACTGGGGGGACAGGGCCCTCTCTGTGGTCTTAAACTGGGGGGACAGGGCCCTCTCTGTGGTCTTAAACTGGGGGGACAGGGCCCTCTCTGTGGTCTTAAACTGGGGGGACAGGGCCCTCTCTGTGGTCTTAAACTGACCCAACCGACATTTTGTGACCCAATCAAAAACAAAAAGGCAAATTTATATTTACAGCTTTTCGAGGTATAGAATGTTTAGATTGTTAGTAAGGCATAGGGCCCCATAACATGACAGAGAGGGCCACAATTGGCCCGAGGGCTCAGGTTTGGACATGGCTGGTCTAAATCTATGTGTCTATTGTGCGTGTGTTGACAGGAGCTTGAAAGTGTCAGTGAAGACGTCCAGGCCATGAGCAGCTGTTGTGAGGAGATGACCAACAGGCTCAAGGTGCAGTATTTGTCTGTGTGCTACAGTGTAATATCCTCAAATTTTCACTTTGACTTCACCTGTTTGACACATGTTTCATCATCCACCTGTAGGCGACAAAGGAGCAGACGCAGGATTTAATTGTCAAGACCAACAAACTTCAGGGAGAAAAGTAAGTCCATTCTGATACAGAATTTGACATAGGATTTTCCCGAATTTTAGGAAGAACCGCCATTTCCAGATGGAACGCCTACTGATACATGTTTCTGTCGGCATTGCTTACACAAGCTCACTTTCCAAGAAGATTTTAACTTTTTCCATTTTGCCAGTGTGTATAGAGCCACCTCAAGCAAACCTACTCTCACTGCTCTAAAACCCCTCACCACACGCTGTATACACTTTTCTAACCACCTGAACTCACAACTGTTGAAGTGCAATCGGAGAGATATCAAACCTGTTGGCTGTAGGGCTGAGTGCTGCTGCAGCTGTCAAAAGCTGTGCATACAGTTTAAAATGCAGCTGCAGAGGACAGGAGCAGAACTGAGAACTACAGGAAGACATTAAATAAAGGTAACTGTCAAGTTATACTAGCGGTTATATAATGTTGTATAAGATGTTATTGAAGTATACATGCAGTGCAGGAGAAGGACGCTGTAATAAAGTATGCACAATAACATTTGCCAAACAGTGAGGCCGCGACAAGTGAACCATGTTAGAATGAGAGACCACTGTGTTTTCCTTGTTTGGGTTGATTTGTCTCTTAAAGCTGTGATATCTGATTTTTGTACAGTGAAAGGAGGTCGTTTTTTAATGCATCTAACTCGTTAGTAGGGCGCATTTCTTTTTTTAATCATTATTATGTAATTTTTACATGCCCGCAAGGGTTGTCGGGTGTCCGAATACTTAGGAGATTTATTACGCACACAGACAGACACACACGTACACAGACCGGCACGCGCACGCACACGCGCACGCACATGCGCACACGCACACACATGTACCCAGACAGAGAGAGACGGGTACAGCTGTGGATCACAAAGCGATGCTCTGAACCCCATCTTGGATCTATAACACTAACACATGCTTTAAAAAAACCTCTAAATTACTCGGGCACGCTTCAAAGCTTCCACACGTTCAGCACATACTTCCGCCGAGGGTTTCATTTATGTTGGTTTCTTTCATTGTGGCACGGCTTTGCCCGACAGCTACTTTACCAACTATTGCAATGCATTTATTATTTATTTATTTAAAAAGGGACCATGTACAATTGAACATAAATATTTCCATTTGATGCATTGTACCGGAGTTAGCCGTAGTTAGTTAGCCCGCATCAGTTAGCCCCCACCATGGGATCACGCGCTATTGAGCTCTGGAGCTCATTTGCGCTGTGAGTGCACTCGCCATCTCCTAAGTATTGGGACACGCTACAACCCTCGCAGGTACATGCAAGATATATGGCAAGGGTACATTTTAAGGGCTAGGGTGAGAATTGGGATGGGGCTTTAATGTGAAGCACAATATCACGTCCCCACCACCCCCTCATCTGGGCTTTACAACCGTGCTCAGGCCCACCTTGTGGACTAAAAATATGTACAATAGTTCTGGCATGCGCCTCCTGTTCGGCGACCCCGCTCCCATCTCTGTGTGGAGTGAGAGACAAGTGCCCAAAAAATAACAATTGTAAACCGCTTTGTGACTCTGGTCTGTGAAAGGCGGTATATAAATAAAGCTTACTTACTTACTTACTTACTTACCTCTTTCAACCGTGCCCATGCACGTTTTCTGAAACCGGGCTTAAGCCCAATTGCCGCGGTCACACAGCACCTAAAGCCCGGATCTAATCTGGGCCTAGCCCCACTTTCACTGGACTTTAGGTTGTGTTTGTAACTGTAGCGTATGTTTTCTCAGCTGAGCATCTTATATTTGGCCAAGATGCTGCAGTGATGGTGCCAAAAAGGTGTCCTATCCAGGACTTTTAATACCTGTTTGTAGACAGACTGGATGGTTTATATGATTCTGAATATAAAACTGAAAAGTAGCTGATGTACACCACATGAAAATAAGCTTTTTTACCAATAAAGTCCTGTAGTTGGCTCCATTCACCTTCCTATCAACTCTTCTCTGCCCCTGGTGAAGAAAAGCAAGGCAAGGCAAGGCAAGTTTATTTGTATAGCACAATTCATACACAAGGCAACTCAAAGTGCTGAACAAGATAGCATTAAAATCATAAATAATCACAGAACATTAAAACGAAAGATAAAAATATAAAATCCCTCAGTTGTATGCACAGCTAAACAGCACCGTTTTTAACTTGGCTTTAAACATTGTCAGAGAGGAGGCCTGTCTCACATCTTCAGGAAGATTGTTCCAGATTTTAGCAGCATGAATCTGAAAAGCAGCCTCCCCATGTTTAGTTCTGACTCTGGGCACTAACAGGAGTCCAGTTCCTGTGCTCCTCAGAGTCCGGGCTGGTTCATATGGGAGTAACATGTCACTAATATATTTTGGTGCGAGGCCATGGAGAGACTTGTACACAAGCAGAGCTTGTGTACAAGTGTGCTAGAAAAGCAACCCCATAACATGATGCTATAGTTGACTTTGGTGATGGTGGACTGAGGGTGTTGAGCTGATGAGTTAGTTTTGAGTCATAACATTTTGGATTTTTGCTTCATGAGCTTGTTTGACGGTGTCACAGAACGGCTGCAATGAAACAGCTGTTGGACTGTGCCTTTTGGCTTTTTCAAACTGCAACTTTCAATCGTCTTGGAAATATTATTTAAAAAAGTCAGAAAAATGTGACAAACATCTTGTACTGTGAACTTTCCGACTGGCATTTGTGAATGTCAGGAGATCCCCAAGATAGTCCAGAGACCGTACTTTAAATGAACTGTGGAAATGAAAGGCAAAAGCTCATATTGCGGCTCTTGTGTGGCTGTTATCTCTCGTATACACCAGTCTGTCGTATCTGCCGCTGATCAGGACTCCTCATCAGTCCTGGGCTACACAACATCCACAAATGGCTCCTTTTCTGTTTGCACGATGCCCAGACAAATGGTTGCTCTGTCGAAGAGGTTGGAAAGTGCCATATTAAATGCAGACAATGTTCTCAGATAGTTTCAAAATAAGCAGAACACATCACAAATAATCGCACACGTCAGAAATTAAACTAAATAGAAATTGTCAATCACACTGTGTTAGATAAACAACTTTACTATTGTAACTACTTTATTATCGTTTTTTTTATTATGGCCAATAAAAGCAGTTAGTTCAGATATGTGTGTAGATAGTTAGATAGTTGGATATAGTTTTGTGCCCCCCGAGTGGGCATCAAACTTTGATGTTCGTGCGGCCCCCACTGAGTTTGTGTAAATATGGAATTTTGTACATTGTTTAAAAGCTATTTGTATCAAGAAAACAGACGCAGCATTTATTTTACTATGAACATTGGACACTGAACGCAACAAGCATTAGACATTCTCAAATCCAGTCCACAACATACAGCATCGTTGCTTTTCGTCCAGTCTCAGCAGCTCATTTGTTCATAGAAATACAGTACATAATAAATCATATATCAAACTTGTTTTCAATAAAAGTAATTATTTGGCCAAAAATACCTTCATGATTATGAAAAGTCATAGGTGCAAATTGAAGCAAGTAAAATTCTCTAAATTAAAGCCGGGGTATCTAGATTTCCTATTGAATTAATAATGCAGGGGAGTCTGTTAGAGTCTTGTGAGGTCTAACACTCACCAGCCACTTTATTAGGAGCACCTTGCTAGTACCGGGTTGGACCCCCATAATCTTTTGTGGCATTGATTCAACAAGGTACTGGACACATTCCTCAGACAGTTTTGTCTATATGTGATAACATCATGCAGTTTCTGCAGATTTGTCGGCTGCACATCGGTGATGCGAATCTCCTGTTCCACCACATCCCAAAGAAACCAATCTGAGATGATTTGAGCTTAATGTCAAGGTGTTTTATCCTGCTGGAAGTAGCCATCAGAAGAAGGGTACAGTGTGGTCATAAAGGGATGGACATGGTCAGCAACAATACTCAGGTGGGCTGTGGCGTTGAAATGCTCAATTGGCACTAAGGGACTCAAAGAGTGCCAAGAAAATATCCCCCACACCATAACACCCCCACCACCAGCCTGAACCGTTGATACAAGGCAGGATGGATCCATGCTTTCATGTTGTTGGCTCCAAATTCTGACCCTACCGTCCGAATGTTGGATGTTCAAAGTCGCTTAAATTGAGACACATCAGATGAGGCAACTTTTTCCAATCCTCTGTTGTCCAATTTTGGTGAGCCTGTGCGAATTGTAGCCTCAGTTTCCTGTTTTTAGCTGAGAAGAGTGGAACCTTGTGTGGTCTTCTGCTGCTGTAGCCCATCTGCCTCAAGGTCTGACATGTTCTGTGTTCAGAGAGGCTCTCTTGCATACCTTGGTTGTATAACAAGTGGTTGAGTTACTGTTGCCTTTCTATCAGCTCAAACCAGTCTGGCTATTCTCCTCTGACCTCTGGCATCAACAAGACATTTTCGCCCACTGAGCTACCGCTCACTGGATATTTTCTCTTTTTCTGACCATTCTCTGTAAACCCTAGAGATGGTTGTGTGTGAAAAGTTTTTGAAATACTCAGACCAGCCCGTCTGACATCAACAACCATACCACGTTCAAAGTCACTTAAATCACCTTTCCTCCCCATTGTGATGCTCGGTTTGAACTGCAGCAGATCGTCTTGACCATGTCTGCACGTCAATTGGCTGATCAGGAATTTGCATTAAAGTGGGGTTGGATAGGTGTACCTAATAAAGTGGTCAGTGAGTGTAAAAGGACACTGGACACTCAGGTCAGTGGACACTACACAATTAACATGTTTCATTTATTTACTTATGGACATTGGTCATCTGCCCCTTATGGACCAATATCAATGTGTTTTTTTTTGTCTTTTTTCTTGTGTTTGAACTGTTTTATTCTCTGATCTGTGTTGGCAAATAGGACAGGAGTGTGAAGTCCTCTGAGATAACAACGGTTGTGATTTACGGCTATGCAAGAATAGGTTTAATTGAATTGAATTTTAATTAATTGCATAATGTTGCTTGTGCCCAAAAGCAAAATGTTGTGAACAAATCAAACAGAACAAACCACAACAGGCCGTCTTTTTTAT